ACGTCACTTGTCCTCCTGTTTCGTTGGTGCCGACAGTCTGCCATCGCTGGCGGTCCGCCGTCGACGATATCGTCGGCGACTGTCGGCGGGAGCTAACCGATCAGCAAACCCGCGGTGGAGAGGACCCGGCGCCGGCCACGAGCCTAGAGCTCGTATTGAAGGCACAGGACCAGCCGAAGATGACCGAACTGCAGGCGCCGACCGCTGAGACGGACACCGACCTCCGACTGGTCGGTGAGTGCTGTGTGAAACGCGCTACACACGAACTGGTAGGGGAGGTTGGGGTAATTTGGCCGCTTTTTTAGAAAACGATATAACTTAAAATTGACGACACATTTCTGCATTTTCTCAACGCTAGCAGGTGCCGCATTCAGTTTACTTTACTGGACAGTGAACTTGAAATGATAGAGTAATTACTTATATTGAAATTGTGACGTATTGCAAAGGTCTGCAAGGCGGCCAAATTGCCCCACTAGCAGGGTTATTTGGCCGGGGGTGTGGGGCAATTTGGCCGGTGTTAGTTTGCGGTCGGGATTTTCTGTTATATTGCGAGTCTGCTTCAGATTCAGCAATGACGTGTCGTGTGTCCTATGACGCATTTGCCGCATTTTGGAGGTTGACTCAGGGGTCACAGGGGTCAAAATAGCCAAATTAGCGGCTCTAGATGCGAAGACAGTTTTTTACGAATAACTTTTGAAGTAATCAAGCTAGGCCAAAATTTCGAGTACCCTCGTAATTCTCTCGTCAGTCCGCATCGAAAGATATATGTGTTGACCTTGAGAAGTCAAGGTCAAAGGTTGACCTCAGGTCACGTTACATCAGGTCGCTTGACCTTAAGGTCACGTGATTTCAAGGTCATCATGCATATCATTCGATGCGCCTTGGCGAGCTGAACAGAATGAGACCATTTGTGCGGCTGTACCATTTTTATGCAAGGATTTATTAGCAAAAAACGTTTGGTAACCTTTGATGACGTCACATGCTCTTACAGTTGACCAATCGGAAGTAAGGCATCAAAGTAGTCAAAGTTGGTCATGAAGCATGTCATTTTTGGTACAATTGACCATGAAAACTCGGCCGTCCCAGCATAGTGACCATGAGCGCACCGGCCAAGTTGCCCCGCTAGTCCCGGCCAAATTACCCCATATTGCCATCCTGAAATTTTTTGTCTATAAAGTCATCACGGCTATACGGAATTAGATGAAATTGCTCTTGGAACCGCTGAACACCCCCAAGAATGGCGCTATAATGTCTGAATTCGTTTTTAGCCCAAATACTGCACGTTATACAACTTTGTAAACAGAAGTAAAAGTTACCGTTTTCTAATGAAATTAACGTTTTATTTATTTTGAATAAAACTACGAGGGGCAAAGTTTTCACATTTGTCCTCCAGTTATTTCTACCCATGACAAATGAATAGAGACTAGAATTATTTCACTCACCTTTATTAGACATCGTACAGGTGGGGGTGGCCAATTTACACCACTGGCCAAATAACCCCACTCTCCCCTACGCTTTGTCCCGCTGTAACTGCCATTCCTTGTCCATATGAGCGAGCACTTCTTCACTGACTGGTGTTGCTTTATTCCAGCGGCCACCTGCCACGCCCTGGAAAAGGCCAACCTGCGCGGCTTTAAGCTGCGGGTCTCTGCCCTGCGCCGGCTGGCGCGTGCCAACGCCTCCAGTCTTCGTGAGCTGACGCTGCCGGCCGGCATCAACGACTGGCAGCTGGAGGCGCTGCTGGAGCCGCTGAAGGCTCTGGAGCGGCTCGATGTGAGCCCACCCGTGGACAGCTCCGGCAAGTGGCTTCGGCTGCTGCCCAAGTCACTGAGGAGACTGAACATCACTGGTCAGTTGGACTGGGTGTTGGTGGAACGCGTGAGCTCGCAGTTGCCTCAGCACTGACCTGCATCATCAGGGCTTCGTTTCATAAAGCGAGTCCGTAACTTACGCCGGTTTTTGGTCTTGCATTGCAAGTGTATGTGAAGCGATAAATTTATTTCCCCTTCTCCCCTCTGTTCTGGCTTGCAAGATAAATAAATTCAACGATTCAAACTAACGTCATCTCTTCACATGCACTCGCAATACAAGGCCAAAAACCACCGTAAATTACGGATTCGCTTTATGAAACGTGGCCCAGATCTCGAGAGAGGCTTAAAAAGGAAGACAATGGGCCCCCTGTAACTGTTGTATGTTTTGTTGGAGAGTTGATGGAAGAAAGAAAATGGTACCTTACCTGCAAAATGCATTTACTCTTTTGCAACTACTTTTTTGCTTGTTTAAGAGAGTAATGAGTATACCTACTAACGGACCGAAGTCCAATCAGTGTTGAAATCTGAGATTTGAGAATGAATTAAATTCACAATGCGCATATCATGAATTACAAATGCAAGCTAACATCTATTGCCTGAACATATTGCACTCAAAATCAAACGATAAATTATATAAAGATCCAGAATGAGATGACAACAAATGAATAGTATGCATTTGGCAATGACAGAAAAAGACTAGGGAGACGGTGATTCTCATGCCACCTATACGAGTGTTATTTACTGACTAGCTGACCCATAGTGTCAGGCTAATACCGTCCCCTGTACACAGTGTTGATAGGCAATCATATCCCTCTCTACAGGGTCGGGGATGACTCGGGAGCCGGTGAAATATGGAGTCGGAAGATGTCCGTCGGAGGGACTGCTGGTCGGTGTACAGCTGGCAACGGACGCACTCCTGGACCAGCTGGCTGCTCTGGCGACCCACACAGTCACAGGGCTAGTCATTTGTGGTGAGCTTAACACCAACACGAGCAGAGCATCGGTGCCAAGATATCGCGACCACTGACCAATGACCATGACATGTGTAGGGAACACGTGGCTCTTACGTTCCGCTTACTGAATGGACAAAACGTAGCTCCTTTCGTTAAACACATATCGTACTGATTATGCTAATGAGTGTATGTATTTGGCTATTATGTATGAGTATAGAATATGCTTATACATCTTATTCTCAATAACGATGGACGCTCGAGGCTGCTACGCTATTATGGTCTTGTTAGAAGGATGGCCCAGGCCATATAAAGCAGTTGGATCTTACTACTGCGCTCTCCCACTATTCCTTTATTGCACTCGCTTGTCCGTTTCCCAAAAAGGTGTCCTATTGGTTAGTATTTAGTATAATATCTTGCTGTGAATATTATTTGTCTTCAGTTCCAGCCATTCCAGTCGGTATGTGTGTCTGTTTTTATGTTTTACAGAGTCACCGTCCGTGACACCGGAAGCGACGGGACGCCTCCTGGCTACCCTCACCAGCTTGAAGGACGTCACTCTTCACGGAGCGGGCGTCATTTCCGAAACTGTGCTGTCCGCCCTTCACGGCTGTTCCCAGCTGGATACGGTGCAGCTCAGTGACACCCGGTCCCTCGCGGACATCCCTGCCCTGACCCAGTCAGAGGTGGCAGCGGTCAGCAGGTCAGTCGGCCGGACGGCGACGGCGGATATTAGGTGTATCTGGATAGACCGCAATAATCCCAGCGATAACCGTATCCGTTGGAGGTATACATAGGAGTACGGGCACAGGGACGTTGAAAATGAAAACGATCACGTCACAGAAGAATAGGCATCCAAAAGCAGGCTTATTTATTCAGGTGATTGTGGAGATGCCATGCAAACAGACAGACAGACGCGGACAAACAGACGGGCAGCTACGTTATCTGGACTTCACTGGTATGGGTATATGGGTATCCATATGGGTATCTAGTATATGGGTATCTATACCATATCTGGTATAGATATGGACATAACATTGGATGGCATAAGGCTCTTAGTATCGTGTGAAACATGTTTAGCAAATTGCAGCACCAGACTGAAAACTTGAGATAGCCGAAGGCCCTATGTTCTGTTATGAAAGGCATTGGAACTACATGGTGTCCTCGTGTCGAGTCGCCCGCTGGTGCCACTGTGTGACTGTGTCCCGTATACTGACCTGTTCTGTTTTGCTGTGATCTTTTGCAGGATGGCAGTGACTTGCAGGAAACTGAAGAACCTGTATCTTATCTCCTCAATCAATAACCGCCAGGCCGTCCTGACCACCCTGCACGAGACCAACCTGGGATGTGATAGTGGCCAGTCCCGTACCATCAATCTCTGGGTCCCAAGTAAGTGACGGCGTCTCTGACCACCCACACCAGCCGACACGGCGCCACCGGCCTCTCTGATACGCACAGACACTGACGCACGTGACGTCACAATAGGTGACGTGTATCTCCGTTAGTGACGTCACAGTATCAGTATCAATCCTCATGACGTCACTAGTCAGTGATACACACAAGTTTCATTGTGTTTGTTTCTGTATCTGTAGGCGACGTTACGTCATCAGTCTGAGTTGCCCCATGTGACATCACTAGCAAACAGTGTAGTAATCTGACGTGCTCTGTTTCCAGAGTCTGTATTGGACAAGCTTACTAAGCCTCCCAATGGCAGCAAAATATGCTTGAGTTCCTACACGTAAACGACCAGCTTCCCGGTGCCTCTTCCGCTCCGGTGCCGGCGGCAGTGTCGGAACTCGACAACAGATGGCAGCACCGTGTCCCGTCGGCAGCGCTGTACGGGGCACAATACACATCTAGACATTCATATCCAGAAGTGCCTCGAGCCGCCCTGTCCCATGGGGTCAGATTCGTGGGTACTTTACCGCTGTACCAGGCTGGTTTGGGTTGAGTAGCCACTTAATGGTCATTTGATTTAGGCACAGGCCACAGATTGCTATGTTTGTTGAGGTTGACACTGCTTTGATAGACAGTGGATATATTCAGTATCTGAGATGTATCACGCTCTGGGCCACTGTCCAGCCGTCGGTGAACCGTCGTCACCGTGCCGGAGGTACCGCCTGGTGACGTCACGTGTGTTGTGACGTGACGTCACGCTGGCTCACAACGCTGTGCTGTTGTGTCGTAGTTTCAGTTTAGACCAGAGAGTGGTTGGAGCTAGCTGTGAGAGTGGCCGGTCCAGGCGATATCGGACCTCGCCCGTCACTGTGTCGGACCGTCGGTGGTCCGGTCGGTTGTGGTTCGTTTGGACCAGATTTGTCCGGTTGTGGTTCGTTTAGACCAGATATGTCTGGCTGTGGTTCGTTTGGACCAGATTTGGCCGGTTCGATGTCGTTCATGTAATATCAAGGACTATGTGAAATAGAGACGATTGAAATACACAACTGGCGGATCAACAGGGCTCTTCATGTAGGTACTTTGACCTGAACTGTGACGTCATTGGTGACTTCGAGGTGAATGAAAATAGGCTTCGTTCAACAGTTTTTTCAGGGTTATTAGACGGCAGACGCCGTTTGAATTTTGGCGATCGGCTCAGTAGTTTCGGAGATAGAAGGGGGGCTTTGGAGAGCCTCCCCCCGTCACTCGCGTTATGGAAAATACCCCAGTCATACGCGGGTTAAATTATACAGACACTGTTTTCGAATGAAACACTGAAATACATTTATGATATATATATATATATATATATATATATATATATATATATATATATATATATATATATATATATATATATATATATATATATATATATATCCCTCGCATGTGTGCGGCATTTGCCAGCTTCTAATGTGTAGGGGGGGGGGGGGGTCGGTTGGACCCCCCCCCCCTTGCCGTTTGGCCCCTGATCGAGCTAGAGCTTCGCGGAAAAAACGAGCGTGTTGCCCGTGACGAGAGGAAGCCGATGATACCCAATTTTAAGGTCCTAGGTCATTGGTTGACCTTCCAGGTCAGGTCAATGACCCAAAGTCGGGAAAATCGGGACCTGTTAGAAAGTCGTAAAGTGTGGCTGCTAAGGGGTTTTTCGGGGTGCGGATCACGAATATCGTGTTAGTTTTGATCACAGATGATGTCTTTAAGCATTTAGACCAGGTCGGGTCAGGTCAGGTCAGGTCAACTAGTAGGCGTCGTGACGGGTATTCGTAGTACGTGTCAACCGCCTCTGACAGCTTCGTAACATGTTACGAAGGCACCAAAACTACTTCGTAAATGTTCAAATGGTTGCTAAATTCGAATTCAGCTCCAAAAACTAGCCTAGAAACATGCACAGCTCGAAAAAGTGAATCGAGGTCACCCGAGGTCACCAAAGGTCAATGACCTGACCTGACCTTCAGGTGACCTTGACACCCACCCTAATGCATAGAAGCAACATCAAATCACATGTTTGAACGTTTGGAACCACGAAAAGCTTGCAAACGCGCGGCTAATGCGAGCCGACATACGCAGAATCGCGATTCCGGCCAAACATGGTCTCGGAAAAGAGGTCACAGGTCAAAGGTCATTTGGGTCAGGGTCATGAAATTTTCAGGGTAGGTGTAAAATTGATCAATGCGAGGGTACTGAAAGTTTCGTCGCGATCGGCCGCTTTTTACGCGAGTTATTCGCAAAAAACCATGGGGGGGGGGGTCCATCCGACCCCCCCCCTACACATGCGAGGGATATATATATATATATATATATATATATATATATATATATATATATATATATATATATATATATATATATATATATATATATATATATATATATATATATATATATATTATTGTAAAAAATGGTGCAGATTTGGTCAAATAAGGTGCATTCGCGAGATAGCCCGTCGTGAAAACGGCTAATATTAACAAAATGCCAAAAACATTACGATTGAAATAGCACTGCAGATACCAAGTCAGTGTCGCTTTGGTACCGGTGTACTAACAAGTTGGTATCCGATTGACATGTCTACCATATACCTATACATTAACCCGCGCACCGACGGGGGTCTGCGCCAACTTCGCACCGACGACGGGGGGGGCGGATGACCCCCCCCCCCCCTGAGATCTCGAGAACGAAGCAAGATAACGACAAGCGGTAAACGGCATCGGATACGCACGGCCAAGATCTACAATTTTTACGAATGTCATTTTCAGGTCAGGTCAAAGATGACGTCACAGGGGTCGAAAAAGTCAAAATGGCGGCGCTAGATATGGAGAGAGTTTTTCTCGAATAACTTTCGAATTAGTGAGGATAGGAACAAACTAAGGGCATCATCGTGATCCTCTCGTCAATCCACATCGAATGATATATATGTTGACCTCGACAGGTCAAGGTCAAAGGTTGACCTCAGGTCACGTGACCTCGAGGTCATCATGTATATCATTCGATGCGTCTTGACGAGCTGAACACAATGAGACCATCCACGCGTCTGTATCTTGTTCCTGTACGGAGTTATTGGCCAAAAACCTTTGGTGACCTTTGATGACGTCACATGACTTCACAGCTGCCCAACAGCAAAACAGACCTCAAGGTAGTGAAGGTTGATCGTATATGAAGTCATGTATGGTATATGGGGCCATTCCGACCCGTTTTAGTGGTAAAAACAGGGAGTTGATTTTTCCCCCATTGACTTATAATGGGGAGGTCGCGAAATTGACCTGACCTTAGGTCACCGATATCAAAATTCCGAGATACACAAATTGTAGCTATTAATGACCTAATAACATCCTGCGACTTTCAAAGGCCTCCGACATCTACTGTAGCTCTGGCACGGTGACAAAGTTGCAAAAAAGTGACTTGAGGTTGGGTCATTCAAAGTGACCTGGTGACCTGACCTTAAAAGTTAGGAGGTTCAAACTTGCACACCATGTGTAAAATTGATGAGAAAATAGTGGTACCAAATTTCGCGGCCTAAATAAAGGCCGCCCCAACTCGCACGCGGGTTGCGAGTCTGCACGGGTTTTTGATTCGCGGGTATAATAGTCATTCATTGAGTGATTAAACCATTCTTTCCAGTGTCCAGTGTGGAACGGCCTTAAGTACAAATTGCGTGTCGTTACGATAATGGGCCTGCCCTGTACCGTTCGACGTCATGGATGGTAAAGGATGGCAGATACTTGAGCTCCCTGTTTACCCGCGCCCCGTAGGGGGGGGGGGGCGAAACGGCCCCCGTCCTTTTCCGTCGATATCTGCTAAACGGCTGGAGATATCGCCACCAAACTTTCAGGACCCCTCCGGGCATCAATTTTACACAATGTGACCAAAAATTTTTCAGAGGCTATGATAGGTTGGCCACAAATGACGTCAGAATGACGTCATGTTCTGTCGTTTTTGACCGAAAAAAGACCTTCACGAGAAGACCTGTCAGACCTACAGCTTTGAAGATACAGAAAAAATGATCAAACATAAAACGTGTAGAATTAACCCGCGCCGGGCCGGGGGGGGGGGGTGTTTGAACACCCCCCCTTGCGGTTTTTCGCAGATATCTCAAAACCGGCGGCGCTCCGCGCCGCCGTTTTTGGCGCACCTGTTTGTCCATCTTTTCCGCACATGTTGTGAAAATTTCAGACCCAGGTCACTTTAGGGCAGGTCACCAGGTCACGCCAAGTGACCTCACCTCAGAAAAAATAAGAATGCTCGTCATAGCTACACCGACTGAACGATTGCCTTGAAACTTTCAGCGATTGATAAGAGCAACACTATCTATAAAATGTATATCTCGGAATTTTGATATCGGCGACCTAAGGTCAGGTCAATTTTGCGGCCTCTCCATTATAAGTCAACGGAGAAAATTGAAAAGCGTCTGTTTTGCACGAACGCTATTCTAGACACTCTCAAACATCGAGATGTAGGTGAAATAGACACACTGAACCAGAAAATGGCAACTGTGACCCCTCGTTATGTCCCCGAGGTCATCTCAGGTCACGAACAGAATCTAACAGTTTTTCGATAATAACTTCTGATAGAGGCGTGCTAGAGCGCTGAAAACGCCTTAGATGTGTTCGGCTCGACGTTGCGGATCGACTGATATGCAACATGACCTTTTCCGGTCAGGTCATGACCTTGACCTGAGGTCAAATTTTCAAGTTGACCTTTCAGGGTCAAATTATAGTTCATTCGACGCGTCTCGACGAGAGGAACACGATGCTGGCAAAAGTAATGTCATAGCTCTTTTGAGTTAAAAGTTATTGCCGAAAAAAACGTTTTTCGTAAAAACGGCTATTTTTGGAGTTTTTGCCCTCTGGAGGCTAAACCGTTGACCTGAGGTCAAGTCTGAGAACATTACTCAGAAAGGTCTGTCAAAGGGCTATCGAATGCGCTTTTTGCGGCGCTGTAGCTCTATCGGTTCCCGAGATAGCCGTTGGCAGTTTCCAAAATGTTGAAATAGTCAACATTGTGCCTTTGGTGACCTCTGGTGACCTGACCTTTGACCTGACCCAAAAAATGACCGGAGTGTTTTCGTCCTTACTTTTGACGTTCTTTCGATTGCCGCTTACCGCGTGTCGCTACGTGGCCCAGGAGCCGAGTTAGAAGGGGGGGGTGTTCAAACACCCCCCCGCGGCCCGGCGCGGAATCTCAGAGCACCGGCCCGGCGCGGGTTAACAGGGCTACAAAACTGCTATCTCGGATTTTTGAAAATTTTGAGTTTTGACCCCCAAAAATCAAAAAAGCAGTTTTTTGGATATATTAGACAAAAAATCTAGAAAGTTTATTGAGTTTCGAAAAAAAACCGGAATATATGTGTTAGTACCTACCGTCTTCTATCTACATACCAAATTTCAGATCGTTACCTCGTTTTTGGCGAATTTATAGCGAAAAAAAAAATGTTCAAAAATGATGACGTCAAATTTTCAAACTCAATTTTTGACAATTCTAGACCACGTAGCGCAAAACAAAGACCACCATTAGACTCCCCGTGACGAGCTGCATCGAATCGATACGCATTTTATGCAAAAATATCAACATTGAAATTTGACCTCATTTGACCTGACCTTGACCTGACCTTCACCAAAACGTGACCTAGGCTGGCCCCAAGGGCTGCCTAACCCGCATAATCGCATTTGTCATGTAAAATGGACCATAAAACATGTATCACACGACACTTTCATATTGTGACCCCCGGTGACCTGACCTCGCTGTGACCTGACTTGGCATCAGTGATCTCAGATAGCAAAGTACGTGTTTGACGAACAATGCACCATCGATGGTTTTCAACAAATTACCAATTTACTCGATTTCACAACACATTTCTTGAAATGCCTGTGAACGGTGAAAATCTGACCTTTGACCAGACCTGTGACGTCATCGGTTTGACCTAGGTCAATGAAATTTAGTCACAAAGTAGTTCCCGGGTGGGGCTATCGATCACCGTTTCAATTTTGAAAATCGGCCGGTAAATTTCCGAGATCTTAGG